AAATAGAAAGAAAATCCGTTGTAATAATACAGACCACTGCAAGAAAACTTTATTAACATAGACTTAACTAAATAATTTTACTTTGTAGAGGATTAATACATTATGTTTGTCAAGTTGATGATGTTATTTAGGCACTGAATATAAACATAAGTACCAAGTATAATAATTATTATTACTATAAACTATTCATTTTATAAAAAAGGACCTCGCATGTAATAAAAATCACTAAACTAATTTAATACACTGATTTTAATAATTCAAAAAAAAAAAAACAAAATAGGTAATATACAGAATAGGTGACCAATTAATAAAAATAAACATGTCGACTTTGACATTGATAAGGAAATATCCATGTGATTATATGGTATGTAAAATAATTAAAAATTGTGGCGTTTTTTTTATTTCAAAATGTGGTTTTTGTTCCTTTCTGATTAAACCCCATATTTAAGCATTTCTTAACAGTTTTTAACGAAAACAAAAATTAAAGACGTTTAGGGAAAATTTCACATTTTGAAATTTTTTGGACTCTTTTAAGTTTTATTGCTTACATATTTTTTACTACTATTTTTATTACTGCCAATGGCTTTCCAAGACAAGCATAATATTTTATCAAGTATAATTTTTCCTCAAAAAATCAACAAGAAAAAAGTTTAAAGATTGTGGTACCCCATCCGGGAACACACTGTATATAAAATTTTCAAGGTTTATCTGAAAATTTGAAATAGGTGCAGTTTTCCAAGTCAGTAATACAGTAACAACAATTTTATCAAAAACTCGATCACAATACAAAATTCTAGATTGGGAAAATGCAGAAAGGAAGAATTTAAAAAATCTAAAAAATGCTTGGCAAAACGGTCATGTTATTCAATGAAATAACACAAACATTTTCAGAAAAGAAAGTAATATGGTGAAAAGAAAATTAAAAACGTCCAATGTACGTTTTGCTAAACGCTGATATATCTATGTAATAAGTGTAAGTAAATTTTGATAGTTGCTGAGAGAATAATATTCTAAATGACCAGTTTTAAGTAATAACGGAATAAGATGTATCTTATATATCTATGGATATCCCAATTAAAAAATCATCTACTGAGGTGTAGACTTTTGAATATATTACCATAAAATTAAGTATTTTGTATAATTTACCTTCTGGTTCTCCAAATCTTCTCATGGGAATCATACTCATAAGTTTTGCTTTCACTTTATCAGGAATTACTGTTGTCATTGGAGTCAAAATCACACCTGGCAATACAGAATTCAATCTAATGCCCTTGTTTGCCAATTCTAGAGAGGCAGTTCTAGTTAATCGCTCAACACCTGCCTTACTGGCAGCATAGTTGGCTTGTCCAATATTTCCATACTTTCCTGATATACTTCCGACATTAATAATTGAAGCGTTATTTATCCCATGGTCAATAATAGCATTAGCACATTTCTGCACAATTAAAAATGTACCCTGAAACAGTTTTATAAGAATAAATTTATTTAAAATTTAAAATGCATACTTTTAAATTTATTTTTAAAACTTCGTCAAAGTCCTCTTCTGATAATTTTAAAATAAAATTATCTCTTGTAATTCCAGCAGAGTTAACTATTATTGTAGGAGGCTTCCCATATTCTGCTAATATTTTCCCCAAGACTTCATCTATACTAGAAGAGTTTCCAACATCTAACTCTAATGAAATGTGTTCTTGTTTAAATTCTTTTGAAATGGCATTAATTGTTTCATCCGCATTCCTTTTATTTTTATCAGCTGCAACTATTAAAGCACCATCCCTAGCTAATATCTGGCATGTTGATCTACCAATACCAGAGCCAGCTCCTAAAGTTATTAAGAAATAAATTAGGTACCCATTATTTGTACATTTTAATATTACTTTTATACCTACCTGTAATAAAAGCCAATCTTCCTGTTAGTGTCATTTAAGTATATTTATCTAATTATTTAACTTTGTAAAATAGTAACAGGGAAAAATTGTAAATTAAAAGTGCGTAAGTAAATATCTAAAACGTGTATCTACATAAAAAAAGTGTAAACATTAGGTGTATACTTCATCATATCCTTATCATTTTGTTTGTGTCGTCATGAAGATGCTATTAAACTTTGACTTAAAGGTCAAGGTCAATGGTTAATTTCAATTTCAATAAATGAGGTTACCTGGGTTGTCCGCAGGGTTGCCTAACTTATAGAAAGATAGATCAGTAAGCAGAGTAAGCACAGTTATACAGTTATACTTTCACGCCATGCCAATTTTAGTATTCATTCAAACTGCGTTTGCTTCCTATTATCAAGGAACTAACTGCTCTTGACCTTGAAGTGATCTTTAGAGCATATACTATATGGACGAAGCACGCTTGTCGTTTTGACAAAGACACTGACAGACAAAGGCGAGGAGTACCACACCTTCACCCTCAGCGAAGAAAAAACGCTGAGGGTGGTGATACGCGGAATACCTGCGGGTGTTTCGCCAAGTGAGGTCCAACTCGACCTCGCAAGACAAGGGTTCCCCGGCGCAATAGTGCACCGCATGGCGAGCCGTCAAAATAAACAGGAAATGCCCCTGGTCCTAGTTCAGGCCCCACAGGACCAGGAGGACATCCTGAAGGTAACCCGCTGCTGCTCGCTCGTGGTTCGAGTAGAGCTGCAGCGAAAGCAGCGGGTTGCCACACAGTGCCACCGGTGCCAGCGGTTCGGCCACGGCCAGACCCGGTGCACAGCTGAGCCAAAGTGCGTAAAATGTGGCGAAAACCACAGCACGCACGTATGCAAAAAGGCCAAAGACACGCCCGCCAGGTGTGCAAATTGCGCCGGGCCACACCCCGCCAGCTATATGGGGTGCCCTCAGTACCCCAAAGCTAAAAACACAAAAACACAAAACACAGACACACACACGACACAAAACACTACACAAACACACAGACAGCCCCTCCTACCCACCCCAAACACAACCCCAGGACGCACATACGCTGACATGACCAGAAAAACACAAAACACACAAAAACAAAAACACAACACCTCACCACACGCACACACAGACACNATATGAATTACAATTTTACAAATAAATTATTGCTATTTATCCTCATTTTATTATTTTTTCCTGTTTTTCTTCAATATTTAATGCTCCATTTCCAAAAAAAGGGCGCTATATGAGACTAAAATCTCCAGATATTGATAAAACACCACAATCGACTGCTATTCTGGTGTAAAATCACTATTGCCGTGAATTAATAATTACAAGTTAAAATTTTCTATACAGGGTGTAAATAAATAAGCGAGAAAATTCAAGGGTGATTCCCTGTGGAAAAATAAGGTGGGTCTTTCATTTGAACAGCCCCTGTGAAGAATAGGGTGCCAAAAAAGTAGTTTTTAATTTTTTCTGAAATACCAAAAAAGTAACGAATGAAATTAAGTAGACGTTTTCTGCTATCGAGAAGGCACTCAGTAAAAATTTGTTAATTTTCTCCTATGGTTGTAAGAGGTATAAAAAGCCCTAATAAGACTTGTTTCATAAGTAACTTTTTTTTTTGTTACTATCTTACCATTTAAAAAATAAATTCAGATAGCCTGATTCATTCTAAACACAAAAGGTATCTTGTAATTTTTTCGCAAAATTAACGGTTTCTGCGCAAAAAAATAATTTCAAATCAATTACAAGACTTAGGATTCAATATTTTTCGAACTATAATTTATCTAGTAGGCGACTGTCACGTTGACATTTCGTAATGGCATTGTTAGTAAGGTCACATAAGCCGGTCAAATTAGACCAAAAAATAAGAGTGAAGGTACATAAATTTACAAGCTGAAAGTGAGTAAAATTGTTTAAAACAATTAAAAATAACATATTAAAATTCCTCATCGTTCCGGTACTCGGAAAACAATTTACTCGAGGTCAAAGGTCAAAAAAATGGGGTTTTCGCCATTTTCAGCTAAACGGTAAGTTTTATCATAAAATTACTTCTGACAAAAATTGTAGATCATAAAATTATTTATAAAAAATGTATCGATACTTTTCTTTCCTAAGAGCCACCGTTTCTTAGATATAACGATTCAAAAAGTTGTAAAAGTTGTAATCGTCATAATATGCATAAGTACACTGTAACTGTAAGAAGACATGCAGTGCTAAATGTGGTTGCAAAAAAGTTGGACTGTCTTGTTCTCTGATTTCTCTGGCATGTACAAATTGTCAAGGCTGGTCGTGTTCTAATCTAATGTTGAATCACCAACAGACCAACAGTAGAGGATTCGTTTGATACCAACGAGGAGACATCACTATTGACGCAATTTACTTACACCCAGAATGAAGAAGAAGAAGATCAAGACGAAGAGCAAGAAGAAGTATTTGAAGGTTATGGATCAGACGAATAAATTCTTTTTTTAAATTTCCATCGCTTTTATCATGTCCAACCCTTGCTAATACTTATCTGTTATTATGCAATAGTTTCAAACTAAACAGAATCACAACAGACCTGTGGAATAGGCCTACTGGAGAAACCACGTTAAATAAAACGTTTTAAGTGCACTACCTCATACTCCTCATAGTAGGGATGTGCGATACGATACGATAATTCAGAGTATCGATACTTTTGTCCGATATTTTGTATCGATATTTTCTATGCAATACATTACGAGTATCGATACTCTTGCCTGTATATCGGAACCGTACGATCCGAGCGTCGCCTATTATTCAGCAGCATAATATAATAGTGGAAATAATATTCCTTCGTGTGCATCCAGTAATGTTACACGTCTGTTTACTGGTTACAGATAATAGGGCATTTCGATTTGGCAAAAACAATAGCTATTAGTTGCTAATAGCAACTTAGAGTTACTCTGAACTGATTGATATTAGTTAATAGTACTAATAAGTACTATTTTTGCCAAAACGAAAGCGCCCAATTTTTTATTGCTGTTATATATGTTTTCATTATGATGTTGTAAAATGTTCGCATACTTACAAACATATAAAGTGAACTAATTTTCAAATGGAATTTCTTCTGTTGTTGCTTCTGGGCTGACATCTTATAATTAACACATATTTGTTTTGTCACAGTAACTCTGTATCGAAAATGTACCGATATTTTAAGTATCGATGTTTTTCAATACGATATTTTACTGTATCGATACGATTTTTGCGATCCGTATCGAGATAAGGTATCTTTATTTTCTGCAGTATCGCACATCCCTATTACAGTCTATACGAGTGATAGAGAGAGATAGAGCTAGTTTGGGCACGGAATAGGATTATAATAGCTGCTTTCCAATTGTCAGGGAAATGCTCTTGAAGTGATTTTCTACTGTTCTATTCTTTACGTACTCTAAACTTAAAAAATTGGAACACCTCCGAGAGAAACTCGTAAAGGTGTGGTGCGTGAGGGGCAGGGGAAAACAAATAGGAACACTTTAAGAGTAAAATATTCCAGCTTATTGGAACGCAAAAAGGTAATCTGAAGTATTACTGAAGTACTTTGGAAAGTCAATTGGAAAGACATAACAACAATACAATAACAACAACACTACAACAATAACAATATTGTATTCTGTGGTTTGCGTACCATATTTCTCGCTCGCGCAGGTACGTGATTGCTAACGCAAATCCTTTGTTGAAGATTAGATAGAGCGAGAATACAGCGTTTATACTTTTTAACAAAACATAACACCACCCCCGGGGTTTACACAGACGAGCCGGCGAAGCAAGAAGAGCGCCAGAAGAAAGGGCCCTAGCCGGCGGGGCCCAGCCAGGACAAAAGGAGGTCCCACAAAGCGCCTACGCCGGCCGCATTTGCAGTCGGGGTAGGCGACGGATGGGGCCCACCTACGAAGGCTGCCCAGGCCTATACGAGATTAGGCAGGATAAAGAGGGATAATCCCCCTCGATCCCAAATCATTGAGGCCAAATTTCTAGCCATGGAATAATGGCGCGGAGTCCTTCGTCTATGTAGTATATGCTCTAAGGTTACTACTCCAAACTTGAATAGACTGTTTTAGGGTGACGTCATATATTTAGGCAACCCGCAACGCGCAACAAATAGTCATGGTTGAAATTATACAGACCGAATGTGACCCTTGTGTACTATGTATTTACATAGATACTATAACAATAAACAACTTCAAATGAATTTATATTTACAAGGATTTAGAAGTATTTAAGAACAGCCAACACGTGTTTCGTAAAATATGTACCTAGATACACTAATGTGCTTAAAACTTACAAAAAAAACAACGGTATTTTGATCTATTTTGGTGAGGAAGCTACTTGAATTTGTTTCTGAACATCNCCAACACGTGTTTCGTAAAATATGTACCTAGATACACTAATGTGCTTAAAACTTACAAAAAAAACAACGGTATTTTGATCTATTTTGGTGAGGAAGCTACTTGAATTTGTTTCTGAACATCCTGAAGTATGTCTAACTAACTAAACTAATTATTACTTCATAAAATCAGTCCTAATGTAATTTATTGTATAGAATAGATGGTTTGTTTCTATTAAATATCTGATTAGGGATATATGATACTTATTTTTTTATATACACCTTGAATTGACGTATCTCAGGGGAGAATTTTCACTCTCACTGCTAGATTGAGAAATTCCACTAGCATGCGAACTGTATTACAGTTTATCTACTCGTAAAGGGTATTTATCATCCACGACGTGTTCCCATTTTAAGGAGTATGGTCTTGAAAGAGTTTCGTCTGTCGATTCAATTCCTCATTCCTGTCAAGGGAGTAAGTAGTTCAGTTTATTATTCTTAAACAATGTATATCCATTGTGAGACATTGTGTCATTCAGTAGTATAAGATATTTCCGTCCTTTGTCTGTTGAAAAGTTTGAATCGACTGGGACGTCAGCCAGTTATATGAGTTAGTTCAAACTGGGTACTACTTGACGTTAACTTTCAATAACGTGGAAACGCTTCGTGTTTCAGAAAATTATAGTATTTATTTTACTTCGTTTGATTTTCATATCACTACTGTACTGAACTGATACTTATTGAGTCCATCGGTATTTCTTTTCTCTACTGTACGATCGTACACAATAAAATGGAATATTGTAAAATTACAACGAATAAAATACTCTTGCCACCAACTATATTCGTTGTGCAATTCAAACT